ACCTTACTGACCTCCCCTGTCTTGGACAATCACAGATCAGTGCCAGCAATCAGACAGCAGATATTCAATTCCAAAAGAAGAAGGAAAAAGAGAAAGTTTCAGAGAGTACAGTACCGACCAGACCCAACCTGACACAAAGCAGTCCCAGAGCAGTCCCGGGGACTGCTTTCTGGGACTGCTAAAGCAGTCCCACAGCAGTCCCAGAGCAGTCCCACAGCGGTCCCAGAGCAGTCCCACAGCAGTCCCAGAGCGGTCCCAGCAGTCCCCGCGGTCCCAGAGAGCAGTCCCAGCAGTCCCAGAAAGCAGTCCCAGCAGTCCCAGTGGGCGGGATTTATTAATTTAATGGGCGGAGCTAACTCAGAAATGAGATTTGCAATAAACAATGGAACTATAAAAGGCAGTAGAAATTGATTCTGGGTAGTATGCCAGAATTCCTTACATGTATTGCGAAGGTCATTTATGAACGGTACGCGCATAGAAACATTAAATTGAATTAATATTTATTGAAGGAAGAAGGCTTTCACACTTTTTACATGTATGATTAAACTGAACATGAACATTTCATCACAATTATCGGGTGTATTAATAATTCAGTTTCTTCATTTTCTGTGATTTATACTGTTTCCCATATTTATTTTTTATACAGAAAATTAAACTGAATTATTTATTTTCCACCAGTAAGATCTCATCATTATATGGCCAATTTCACATACTATAGGGATACTCAAAAGGAATTTTTGGGGCTTTTAGAAATTTTTTGTTAATTTTGCCAAGTATTATTTTTATTGACATGTCAATTTAATTTTAATTTCTCTATCTCTATAATACTCAGTTTTATTAACAAGTGTTTTATTTGTAAATGTTAGAATGTACATCTGTAAATCACCAGAATGGAACCCTCAGATTATGCTCAAAATTAATTAATCCTGAAAGAAATTCATACACATTTCATTTATCAATTTTATTTTTGCAGTACATACCGGTAGATTGAAATTAGGGTCATTGTTGACCAGCATGTTCAATGATGTGAAACGCTGATGCGTATACCCAAATAACACGCACTGATTTTCTGCCCCAAGGCGATTGAAACTGCGGGTGTTGATACCATTTACTAAACATTAATCGGCTAGGTACATGTAAACACAAGGAAAAGAAAAAAGAAACAAATCACAATTCCCGGTATTTTCAACTCTTTATTTATAAAATAAATGTAATCTTTTGATAACTTGTTTATAAATTAAAAACACCGGTAATTCATTAATAAATTCCCCAATGATTATTCACATTGTTTCAGTTATGGAAGAACGGTAGCATACTGTTATTTCATTGTCATTTAATAAATTGTTAGGCTTTATTTTAGAGCTGCATGGAATACTTTTTTAGCGTGGTACTCGTAAAACATGTCAGCTTTTCAATTAAAAATCTTATAACTAACTGTTTAATGATTATTTTTAAATAGTGCCAATGCAAATTTTGGGTGCACATAATTTTACATTAAATAATAAAAATACGCCTACATGTAGATATTTTTTCCCATTAACCAGTAGTTTATTTTTAGGGATGAAAATCTTCTCCTGACTTCCTTATTTAATAACTTTATTTAAAAAGAATGATTTAACTACATTTGTGTAAATGTACAGTCTCTGAAAATATTGATTAACTATAATAATCTCTACTTATCAAAAAATTGTAAGAAATCCTTGCTTTTTTAATAGTTTAAACTCCTCTCTGTTGCAAGTAAACAAAACAACTGGGAGCCTGCAAATTCAGAATACACAAGGGGGCGGAGCTATCATGTCACTCAGAACTTCTTTCACACATGAGTGAACAAAGCAGTCCCAGAAAGCAGTCCCTGGGACTGCTGGGACTGCTGGGTCTGCTTTTTAGAGCAGTCCCATAGCGGTCCCAGAGCAGTCCCACAGCGGTCCCAGAGCAGTCCCAGAGCGGTCCCAAAGCAGTCCCGGGGACTGCTTTCTGGGACTGCTTGGGTGTCAGGTTGGGTCTGGTCGGTACTGTACACATTGATTGGCAAGAGATGATGATGACAGATGAAAACAGTGTAAAAAAGAAATCAAACACAAAAAAATAATACAAACTTAAGAGTCAGTTGACTATATACCTTTAACTTGGCTGTTGTGGACTGTAATATTGTTGACAGCTGTATCTTGTTTTCTGAATGATCATTGCCTCTGCTACTGGTACAAAATTGTTCACTTCTGACTGGCAACTGGCCTGATTTTTTATGAAGCCACCCATCCAGGCTATAACTGCTTGCAATCCCACATCAGTCAGCTAGAAATGAGCCACTGAAAAAAAAAAATTTAAGAATTTCAACTTTAGTTCACATTCATAATTAATAAGTAATTGTGTCAAATTAATAAGTAACTGTGTCAACTATAATTACAGACAACAAGTAGCCAAAGTTTTGAGAAATTAGGCATTACTTTCCTATTAACAACAGTGTAATCTGAACAATCAAATGTTTTAAACATACCTTGGTTTTTGAACTCCATTTGGCATTTAAAATAGCAGGATAGGTGAGGAATGGGTTTTATGTCACCTACAACATTATATGTAGAATCAAAATTCATATTGCATAAATGTTTGACACACATCAATTGCACACATTACGTCATCCCTTTGACAAGCTGAGCAGGTGCCCCTCCCCCTTTTCAATTATTTAAATCCATTTAACTTCTCCAAAATACAATTTTTTCCATAAAATTTGTCAACAATTTGCATAATTAGTTCCAAATTATCCAAAAAGTGCCAGTAAATTGATTAACGTGAGATTTGACCTTTGACCTCATAGGACACAGACTACCAATTATTTTGCTATACATTCCTTTATACTATAAAAATTGATTAAAAAAATTACACCAGCTCAACTTACCTGAAACTTGGCACAGAGTAAGAAGAATTCAAGTCCAAAAATTTTTCAGACTCTCAGGAAAATTCATCGCATGCAGTTCCTGTTAAGGCATCGCAAATAACCCCTACCCTGCTTTTTTCACTTTCTCTTCGGGGAAAGGGTAAATATGGGCCTCTTTACACCCTCCCTACTACGCGCGCAAGTGCAAAATTTCACATATTAACAATTTTATATTTTTTTTCAAACCCTCTCCTTTCCATCTATACCCAAAAATAACATCAGTCCACCCCATAAACACCCCAAAGAATTTTTAAGAAAAAACCTCTATTTTTAAACTGGAACTACTTGAGTGGTCAATGAAATAGGGGTAAAATTAGTAGTCTGTAACCTAATATTCTTTACAGTCCGTAAACTACAGTTTACAATCGCTAAACCTAGTTTATTGACTGTGAAACTATGTTTAGCTCATTTTTGTGAATTTGGCGTGTCATATTAAGCTGTTGAAATATAAGTTTAATGTCTTGTTACACTACCCCCCCCCCAAAAAAAAAAAATCATGAGTGTTTATATTTTATGGTGACAAGAGATAAAGTGTCAAAAATATTGTAAAATTACTGATAATTTAATAAAACTGTTATCGATTTTTGAATTTGGTCTTCTTGTGACTATACGTTCCTGGTCAGGCATCGGTTATTAACTTAAGCTTTCGGCCTTGATAACCAGTACCTGAGCAGGTCCGCATAGTCACAAGTATACCTCAACGAAAGTCAATAATTGTATATTATAAGAATATTCAAAATCTCATTATTTATTATAGTTTATTTCTTATAAAAATAATATCTACAAAAAATTTAAAGGAAAAAAATAAGATCTTACTTTAAAAAGGTAACATATGACTTAAATAATCAATCCAACACCTCTCTCTCTCGCTCTCGAAATATTCTATTTGGTTAAAAAAATCAAAATTCCCAAAACAAAAACAAAGTTTGATTATTTAAACTACTAAAAACTTGACCTGTCTTCACCTGAGTTCGTCATAATGAGACGGTGGACTAATTTGTCCAAGTTCTTCGTAGCCTGTGTTATCTTCTTCATTGTCATACAGAGTTGTGTTTGCGTATTTTACTGAATTCTGGTCATTTCCTGCCTTGTTTGAGTTTTATTTTTTTACAATGATTTTTCTGACCTTCCTGTAAAATACATTCATACATTAAAACCAAAGTCTATGGTATTATCTGACAACAGAATTAGAGCTACATTCAATTCTTTATTTGATCTAAAATTAAATAAATAAAAAACCCACCATGCCATCAAAACTATGTTGAGAAGAGCACTTATGCCAAGTATTGTGAGAACACCGTACAGAGCCGAATAAACGTTAGGTTCGTTTGTACTTCTCTTTGAGGACTGCTTGACTACTTCAATAAAATAACAAAAATACATGTACAAAACACACTGCAAAAAGAAGAAGCAAAGAAGTTCTACCATTTTCTCTTCCCTCACACTACTTATTTGTTTATCCATCTTGTAAACATAACTTGCATTCGAAAACTTGTGCAAGTTTCAAATTCTTTTTAAATCTTTACATAATATTTTCTCACTTTATAAGACTTTGCTTATTAAATAGTGTTTTAAACTTACTCATCTTTGGTATTTTCCATACGAAAGAAAAATATATACCAGTATTATATAGTTCGCAGTCGATTAGAAACTGTATTACCTTGTATACCTCTGTCATCGTTAAACCCATATTTACATGACCCATTGTTTGGAAAACATGAATCATTTAAACAACTAGAGCTCTGCATTCTACATGAAAATGAGGCATTGTGAATTAATAATCAATCAAATTACTTTTAGGGAAAAAATTACGTATTATGGTTATATTTTTTTCTTTTTAAAGATGCATTCAATAAAAGTTAAAAAAAATGTCATGATGTGCTTAAACAATCTCCCCACTACATATACGTAATAATATAACGGGGATATTTACATGCATTTTTATTCAATGTGAATTTTTGACTTCATAAGGATGGAAAGTAGTGATTCAGAACATTTTATGGGTAATAAATTTTTACAAAACTTATAAAGCAATTCTCATATCTGAGAAAACGTAACTGCATGATTAAGTATGATTAATGTTTATCGAAATTAAACATTTTACCTTATCCGTTGCAAAAGTACAAAATATAATGATAAAGTTAAATTTAAACACTGTTTGTAATCAAAATTCCCAAGCACTTCTTTATTTGTATTGTTATAATATACTTTTCTTACTCTGGCACATAGCTCCAGTAAAGTAGGTTTTGCATCCTCTAATGCAGTTCCCATTGTCATAATCACAAATCTCATTCAAACAGTGAACGCTACATCTCTCAGTACAGTTAACTCCCCAGAATCCAGGCTCACACCCACGATTACAAACTCCGCTATATTTGTCACAAGCCCCGCTATTACATGTAGAGGAGCAATTGTACTGACAGGTATTTCCCCAGTGTCCTCCTCCACATGTGTCACATTCACCATTTGTATAGCAAGTGTTCCCGAAACATTCTGTATGACATCCTGCAGAAAAGACCTCTAAAGTGTATAATTGTATTTCCCGAACAAAACTTGTATACTAATATATTACTTGAAATTTAATACAGAGTTACAGATTTTATTCAATACTTTCCAAAAATATCGTTTTTGAACCTATTAATTTTCAATGAAGGGGAGGAGCGATTTCAAGTTTTCTACCATATTGTGTGTGTTTTTTTTTACTTAAAAAAGAGTTCAAAGCAATTTGTCCACAATTTATAATATATAAATTTCGTTACCATAAATATCTATTTCACAGATTTCTAGCATAGGCCCAGTCTCGATCTCGCCCTCATTTTCAGGTGCATTATATGTGGTTTCTATGATGACGTATCGTGCTGTCTGTTTACAAGGAATGTCAATCACAGAAAGGGGCGTGGCTGGGTATGTAGTGTTGTCTGTGTAGCATCGAACCCTCTGTGGTGTAGATGTGGTGGAGAGAGCGGCTGATGTGTTTGATACATCCAGGTAAAATTGACGAAACCGGTAAGGTTTCCAGTTTCTTTCTAATTAATAAAATTATATATAAATTTTTATTGACTTATTATGCACATATATATCCAAACAATTAAATGCAGAATCGACATTAAACTTTTACGAAATATTCCTTGTCGTTTTGTTATATTATTCCACATTTTCATTAAAATGTAGTCACAAAATTTATTGTAAAAAGCCAAGACATGTATTGATTATAAAACCTTATTTTGATTTCAATTCGTCGCCAGAAATAAATAAAATTTGTAATGCATAATAAATATAGACTTTAGATATAATATTTTGATTCAAAGTCATTTTTAATCTGTTTCGATTATACAATTAAAATAAAATCAAAGCAATATGAATTTCAAAATAATTATTTAAAAAATCAATCAAAATTGACACAAGACTGAAATTGATGATCACGGAACATGGTCAAAGTTGGATAAAATATACTAAACTTATAATAATAATACACCCTGCAAATAAAAACTCAACTGTTCAAACTAAATTAATTTTCAGAAAACAAGTATAGTAAAATCCCATTTTTCATTGGGTCAAATTTTCGTGGTTCTAGTAAAAAAAAACTCTTTGTTCGTGGATGAAGAATTGTTGTTGAGTAGTTATGTTTTAATACTTTACATTTCGTGTGGTTATAAATTCATGGATCTCTTCATACCTCGAAAACAACGAAAATTTAACCCCCACAAAAATTGTGATTTTACAGTATTCTCTTTGGGGAAGAGAGGAGAAAAAGTATTTATAGAGCAAATATTTTTTAGTTGTAGGGACTGAAACTTTGAATCAGAGGAATCCACTAAGTTACTAGTTCATAAGTGTACACTGAACCGAACTTCTAAGTGTTCACCTAACATTTTTATATTTTAAATAACAAATGCACACAATCAATAAATTCTTAGTTAATGATGCATATTTCAGTTCGATGCTGCGCAAATTTCATGTAGTATCTCGTCAGAATTATGAGCAAAGTGTCAATGACATGATGTACCCTCAAACTGAAAACATGTGATTGTCTGAGGTTACATGCCATAAAGGATCCTATGCCGACTTATATTACACATCAACAAATTCATCGTATACGTACAGTAATTTATATTTAAACATATGCTGATTATAATTTTGGTTAAATTATTATGACAAAGAGATACATTGCATACATATTTTGAATGACCTTATATCTATTTTAACAGCTTCTGTGAACAGTTATTTTGCAAGTTTCTTGGGATTCATTGTCAGTAAGAAAAATGACATATCTGTGCATGCGATGTCCGCTTTTGTTACACATTAAAACATTTATGCCTCATATAAATAGAAAGATAATTGCATATTTTGTTTATTATGTAAACCAACGTGATACTAAATTAAAAAAATAATTATACCCGCACTTTCTAAACAAAGTTCGGGTATATTGTTTTTACTCATGTCCGTCCGTCCGACTGTCATACTTTTCTTCCCTGAACTCCTCCTACATTTTACACAGTAGCCTAATCATACTTTGGGAGATGGTTGGTGGTGTCATGTAGATGTGTTGTAAGGTTTCAGAATTTGATTTTGCCCCGCGGGGTCGAAAAATGACATTTTTTATGCAAAGAGCCCCGTCTTCCCTGAACTCCTCCTACATTTTTCTCAGTAGCCTAATCATCTTTTAAGAGAGTTAGATATTTTGAAAATTAGGTAAAACATCAACGTTATGGGGTAAAAAAACATCGCATGCTGGGAAACATCTTGAATTCTGATGAGTAATTAATGTGCATATCAAATGTGAAAGTCATATCTCTTCTCAATCAAAAGTTATAAGCAAATGCAACATTTTTGAAAAATAGGTCAAGCTTTAAGGTCAATGTCAAAAGTCATGATTTATTTGGAAAAGTCTTATCACAGGTAATGATGTACATGCATGTACAATATGAATGCCCTAACTTTAATTTTCTCTTTCAAAATAAAGGACTCTAAAACAATGTAATTTTTTTGCAAGCAGGTCAAACTAATCAAGGTCACAGGTAAAAAAAATCATGCCATTGTCACAGGTAAATACTAATACATATGTTTAATATGAATGCCTTCTCTTGTCATTCAATAGATATGACCGTGATGACCAAGGTTAAATTTATTGTGACAGATGGACAGACTGACATACAAATGTACATATTTCTATGTGAATTGGTTCAAATTGGCACAGTGGTCCAGACAAACAGATGGATGACAGACGTAATGTGATAAGGAAACCAGAAAAGCTCAAATGCGTATTTTGAAAGGGTTAAGATGGTTACAGTATTTGAAAAGCTTTTTTTCATGCAATTTTTTGAGAAGCTGAAAATGTATGACATGTATCCACTGTTGAAAAAACTGCACATTTCAGAAAACAGTAGGTCAATTTTAAGATGCACAACCTTTCCAACTCTTATAATAATTATTTTAAAATATATATATCATCTTTTCTGATTCCAGGGAGTACAAGAGATATGACCAACATGTTCATGTTATATATATATATATATATATATTTTGTAATTCGTTTGTTTGTTGTGAAAACATCTCACGGGAATTTTTCCCTCATATGGAGACATCATCACTCAAAAAAAAAAAGGCAAGATGTGTTTGTGAAACTCTGATGCCCCGGTATGGCAGCCTATGTCGAAGGTTGAAGTTTCTCAAATGTATGTCAAACTCAAAGATGAAGGTCAAAGGGTTAAAATCGTTGGTATCAAAAGAAAGTCTTGTCAAAAAGAATACACATGTGAAATAAGAAATCCCTAGTACTTCCTGTTCAAAAGTTAATTGCCAAGGTTAAAGTTTTATATAAGTGGGTCAAACTCTTGGGTCAAGGTCAAACATAGTTAAATCTGTTGAAAGATCACAATGAATACGCATGTTAAGCATGAAAGCCCGAGCACCTAGTGATCAAAATTTAGGCCGAGTTTAAAGTTTGGTATTTTTCTTGAAAAAATGGGTAAAAAGCCAAGGTCAAGGTCAAGAGATCAAGAGGTCAAAATGGGTTGTACCCAAATAAAAGGTCTTGTCGCACGAAATTAACCTATGAAATGTGGAAGCCATGTGTACAGCCCATCCTACTATAAGTTAAAACGTATGGGCAAGCTTATTTAAAGTAGACAGACATAATATAAACACAAGAAACAAAATATGTACCGTATATAGTCAAAGGGAAAAAACTCTACTATTTTGGAGTCACAAGATCGATTGTAAAATCAGGATCAGGGAATGGTTAGGGCGATTTGATCCATCCTTGGAATTTGCTTTGTTATCTAAATAAGACTATATACTGAAGCAAATAAAAAATGACTTTAGACATCCTCCCCCTTGAAAAAAATTGACCCCACGACCCCACTATCATTGTTTTTATTTTGTTGTCAGTTTTTTTTTTTCTTTGCTGGTCAGGAAATTCTTGGCTGGAATTTTTTTGACTGAGGTGTGAACCCCCTCTCCCCTCCCGTAAAAAATTGATAACTTCACATTGTGAAATTCGTCTACTGTGGCATGCGATGATCTTTGACCCTTTTTGAACTTTAATCTAATCATTTGCATTTCGGTTTATTTTACCCCAATCTATACTTAAACTTGTACTTACCGACAGTCATAGGTCCTGTTAAAGATATATATACCGTATTAGTGTTTTATTGTTAAAGAAATAAATATATGTGTTGTCTCATCAAGTTATATAAGTTATATACTTTCTTTAAATAAGATAATTCCACTCCATCGCTTTTAAAAGTTATGAAATATTATTGGGTAAAAATTATTTTCTTTCCGAGTCGGATATTAAACCGCCTCTTATTAAAATATTCATGATCACGTGGTCTCGCATGCTCACAGCAAACAATGGTCCAATGAATGAGCCGAAGAGCATGATGTTCTACTACGTTTTCACTACGAACACGTGGGTTTATGCATTTATAAACAGACTTAAGTTTCACGTTTTTTTAAAAAATACCTCTATATTAATTCTCATGTGCATTGATCGTAGAATGTGAATGTACATTGTAATGTGTATTGAGTAGCATACTGTATGTTTTGAAGTTGTACATATTGTAAACATTGTCAATACGTGAGCACACCTCAGAGTTGTTTGCTTTTTGTACCGAGGAAAAGTCACGTGAAATTTTCTTTTCACTGACAGTACAGCACGGGAAAACTGTAAACAAACGGACTTGTAGAATGGAGTGTAGCATTTTTTGTAGTAACCCATAAATGCATTAAATGCAACTCATTGAACTGATTGGTCGATTTGTCGGTCATATTGGTTCCTCACTGAGCAGACGTCACAAAAAATAGTTTCCTCGACCGGATGATTCTCGCAATACTTTTCCCGCGCACATGCGCAGATCCAGCATAAATGTCAGTCCTTTATAAATATGCATGAGAATATTGTGTTCTTTTCCCGACCAGTACTTTGTTAATACCGAATAATATTTCGTCGAATTTGCAAAAATGCTTTATTTTTGATAGCTTATCATGCTTCAGAAATTTTTGTTTGGTTTCAGCTGTGCAAAAATACTGTTTAACACGGCATATATATCTTTAATTTCATGAAATATAATCCAATTATGACACAAAATGAATTATTTCAATACACACCACTGCAACATGTGCTATCCCATTGGGCAAACCTTTGCTGATTCATAAAAAACGATATTTTAACATAACTTTTCCATTTAATCTATTTAAAAACGTACGTGCCGTGTAATTGTTTGTTGGTTCGGGGGAATTAGTAAATTCAAAAAGTTCCTATTATAAGCAAAACATTTATCAAAATCTAATTTACATCATTAATTAAATTCTGTTTTTTCAGACTGGTAATGAATTAAGCATATAAAATACATATAAGAGGTGCTGAGTCATAGGTCACATAGTTACAGCGTCCGAGAATTTTATACTCAATGTGACGAATACATGTACTGTGTAAATTATTGAATTATTTTGACTTTTTCCTTGGAAAGCCCAATATGCAGGAGTGTGTATTTAGAGGCAAACACTTTAGTGCGGGTATTAC